GGTGAACTTGAGGCTCTCTTCTGATCTCCACAGCATTGCATGATATGTGTGAACTCATGTACATGCTGGCAATATACTCATACACATAAAATAAAAATAATAAATTAAAAAAATTTTTAATTACCATTTTATTAAACATTTGAATATTTTGTGAGCAACCAGTGTATCTTTTCACAATATAGTAAATTTTGTTTCATGTGCTTAATATTCTCAAGTTCAATTTATTTTCAATTTTAATTAAATTAAAAAATACTAAAAAATATGTCAAGCTGGGCGTTGTGGCCCATTCCTTTAATCCCAGCATCCAGGAGGCAGAGGCAGGTGGATCTCTATGAGTTCAAGGCAGCCTTGTCTACATAGTGAGTTCCAGGAGAGCTGGGACTACAAAGGGACCCTGTCTCAAAAAGACCAAAAAAAAAATTCATATAGTATATGTTGATTGTATTTACTCTCCCCTTTCTGTTCTCAATTTACTACCCTACCCAATTTCATGTTCTCTCCGTCTCTCCCTCTCTTTCTTTCTCCATATATATATATTCAGACATTCACTGGATCTTAGTGAACTTATGAAGCTTTTCCATCCATGAAAGAGAAACTTTCTCCTCTCCCTGAAGCCTGTCATGGCCAATACTTCCTCAAGTATCATTGGTGTTTCTTACCAACCTCTCCATGTCAATGCTGAGAATTTGCCTGTCTTGAACTTATATGGGACTCGTACATGCTGTGACCTATGCTGTGATTTCATGAGTTACTTCCCAATTGTCTATAAATCTCTATTTATTTGTGTTTTCCACCATTTGTGACTCTTAAAATATTTCTGTTTACTTTTCTGCAGCCATCCCTGTGGCCTCAGAGGCAGAATTTTGGTATAGGTATCTACTTGGGGATAGGTACTATGTAGTCTAATTTTCTGCACATTAGTCACTTGTGGATATTTGTATGATTCACCATGTGCTGCATACAGAAGCTTTATTACTGACAGTTTTGTTGTAACTCACAAGATTCACATCTGGCTAAGCTGATGACCAATTTTCTCTATGGTAGCATACAAAGCACCTTCCAGCACTATGAAGACTAGTCAATAGAGATGACGCTTTGAAGTCAGTACCAGCTTGATTTCTCCTTTTTTCTTCTGTAGCTGCATCTTGTCATCAAATTCTGGTGGTAAGAGAGGATTAGTTTCTAGAATGTAATATAAATTCAAAATACTAAACATCAAAAATTTTACAACTCATTGTATGTGATGCAATGAGCTGGACAGGATGATCTCCAAGAACAGAACAGAAATGTCTAAGACCATCTTTTAAAATGTTGTACATTAGTAGTCATAAGGGAAGTGTAATTTAAACCACTTTGTGATTTATTAATCCATTCACCATGGGTAACATCCAAAAACCAAACAACAAGCTGGGTGTGGTGGCACACGCCTTTAATCCCAGAATGGAGAGTGGGAGCTGGGCAAAAATTCCACCTCTTGGTCAGGAGCTATTGGTAATTGATAGGTGCTATGTCAGTGTTCTTCAAGGGTGTGGCCCCAGGTATGTCACCCTCTCTACATGGATGGCCCCATATTCAAGTGCTTATGTTCAGTTCAGTGAAAATTTTATATTTGGGTTAAAAAAAATCTGAGAAAAAAATATTGGATAGGTCGTGAAGGGATGCTCTTGCAAGGACTTCTAGGAGTGAAGGGCAATTTCATAAAAATTCTTTGAAATTCTCATAGAACTAATAAAAAGTGTGGGGAAAATTTTAAAAAAATGTACATCACATGCCATTATCAGTCCTCCCCTATTTGAATCCTCACAAATATAATATACAAATTAAAACATAAGTATTGATACATGGGCAATGCCTGACTTTGTATGTAGCTGTATTTTTTATTCATTTGTTTTCCAAATATACTGTTAAGTAAATGAAAAAAAAAATATGAGGTAACAGTATTGATCCCATCTAGTCTTGGGCTGTTATTCCTTGGAGATAATGAATTGCTGCTTCATTTTTGTTCTTTTGCACTTAATATTGATAGGTCAAATTCTTTAGGAATTCATGCATGCTGCACTAAGTGGGAGAGGATGGGAGCTTTAAAAGGTTAAGTCCCAAAGGTAAAGTCCTTGAAAAAATTTACTCAAAGACAGGCAGTCACATATTTGTTCTTGTAGGTGGGCAAGCAAGCAGTTAAATCAATTTTTAAACCACTTGTTTTAGATGATGCTGGCTTTGCAGCCCATAATGTGGTCTTTAATAGAGTAATATGAAATTTTTTCATTCTTACTTCATCCAACAGTCATTGAAATCTCATTTTTCCTATGAAATAATTCAGATATTGAGGATTTTGTCCCCCTAAGTTTGGGAAAACATACTATAGTTTAAGGTGGTGGACTGACATTGCCAATTGTTATATCAGAATCAATTTTCAAGTTTTTTCTACTTGATTTTTTATTATAAAATTAAGAATCATAATATTACATACAAAAAATTTACAACTGTTCTCTATAAAATTTTATTTCTACTAATGTGTATTGATCATTTTATCTCTTCTACCTATATTTGCTTACAGTACATTTTATGATCTATGGGAATTGATATTCCTGTTAATATATGCTTTTAGCTGTTCATTTGTTTGCCATAATTAGCTCTAAGTTTCTGAATGTCATTGTCAGTAAAGTGTTTCTTGGACAGAAGGGATACTTGAATCTTACTTTGAACCCACTCTTCTTGAATCTAACTTTTAATTGGTGACCTGAGGGAATTTTCATGTTATATTATTGTGGGAGAATTTTTTAAATTCAAGATGATTGTGCTGGTGTTCTGGCTGTTAGAATCATTGATTAGTATTAATCTTTATTAACATTAATATTGAGTTCTACTTTGTTTTCTGTGTGACTAATGGTGGGTTCCTTCTGGAACATGGTCATTCATGACTTCCTCTTTACATTTGAATTCTGACTTCTGTTCCCATGAATGAGAGTGTCTTTTTCCTCTGTGTATTTTGTTTGCTTCCATAAATTCTGAAGTGATGGTTTTCCTGCCTTGAATTAGTAAATTTCTTCAGAAGTTCTTCCTCCATCAATGTTTTTAATGAAAAGCAGCTGAATTTTTTATTATTCCAGTGCCATTTGATGAAAATGGAATCCTGTGGTTCAGAGAATAAAAAAGAAAGCTTAATGCAATTTACATTTTGAATTGTACGCATTTTGCTTAAGCTAGAATAATGTTTTAATAGTAAAAAGCAAATTCAAATGCATGGGAGCTTTTGGCCAATCCATGAGAAATTTGGCCAATCTAGAACACACCATCCTTGGTGGCTGTCTAGTTTTTGCTTCATGATGGAGCTCAGTTAATACTTATTTCAACTTTCTAAATGACTCTCGTGATTGGATATGTATGTAGTACTGTATTTTTCATATATTTTCCAATTTATTTTTATTGAATGAATATTGTCACTTAGTTTTGATTTCA